GTCAGAACTAATACTCACTAAATACTGTCCCTGAAGCTATTTTTAAGGCTTTCTGCTGCTAGGTGTCTGAAGAAAATCCCTTCAAGTCAGCTAAAAAATATTGTGGTTGGTGCGATCTCTAATGTATATGAAGAAATACATATCAAAGCTAGTCTGGAAGGTGATAGAGAAAAGTTATTACTTACTGTTTTCAATTTAAATTTACCTGGCATTAGTAAACATTCCAGTTCATAAGTGGTAACGAAAAGGTTAGCAAGTTGGAACTCTGCATGGCATCTGGCTGAGCTGTCATTTAAACCACACCTACACAGCCCAAAGGTACATCATGTACAGAAAACTCAGGTGAGAGCACTGCAGATTTCAACAAGTTTGGGGATATTTTACAAGATGAAAAATCTTGTTCAACTAGTCCAAGATCACTGTCATCCATAAGAAAAAGGGGGCATATACAGTAGAAATACACATTTCAACAATCTCTGTATTATATCATGTTACCAAAATGATACATAGTATAAGAACTAGTAACTTAGGAAATGATCAAGATAAGACAAGGCAAGCTCTTTCTCTGAATTACCTTCAGATACTATTATCTTTAGTCACCATCTTTACCACCCCTCTTGTACCTAATTTCTCCCTCCCATGAGCTTCTCTAATTGTACCTCTTCTGCAATACCTGTGAGCTCCTATCTTATTAACCTTCCTGCCTCACCTCTCTGACTTTTAAACTTTATGCTCCAGCCAGTTTAAACCACTTTTAGTTCTTTAGCTGTATCATCCTCTCCCATTGGAATGTCCCTTTGGGCTGGAATAGCCTTTTTACCCTCCTCCCCCACCTTCTCTCAGCCAACCCCTATAAAAAGGCTATCTAGTATTGCTCATCATATATTAATATATATGCTGCATGTATATAACAATGATAACAATGTATATGCTCATGTATGTTAACACGGCATGTTCATTCTACTAGGCTGTACTTTTAGTTCATTTTAGCATCTCCCTAAAACCTCACCCAGTAGACTTCCAATCTATGTTACATGCAAGTGACTGAGCACGAAGCATGCCACTGTGATGGCTGTATCAGGGAATAAAGGATGCCTTTTTTAAAGAAACCTGATTATTTCCTTCATAGATCAATTACTAAAATAATCAATTATTATCTGTATGCACATCAATTCTACTTTAGATGTAGGAAACCTACTACAAAATTTAAAAAAATACTAATTTATTACTATATGTCCTAGAATCACTAGAATACACAGATATGAAAACTGAAGTTATACCCTTATGGCCCAGGCAGGTAAAAAATCACTATAACCCTTTTGTTTTTTCTATGTGTGTGTGCATACACACACACACACACAAAACTATGGTTTGAAACAGATATTTTAAATGGGATTATGGCACATCTGCTGTTTTGTGGTATTTTCCCACTTAATGTACAGTATAAATCTCTTGTAGTAAATGTGAAATAAAGTAAAATAATAAAAAATTTAACAACCTAAATTTTTTTGCATAGGACTCCAAAATATGGGTTTGTCATAATTTAACCTCTTATTGTTACATTTTCATTCTTTTAAGTGCTGCTGCAAAAAAAGAGAAAAAAAGGTTGCTGAATGTTCTCCCATATTTGTCATACATAGCAATGCTTTTTAGGCTAGGTGAATAAGGTTTTTGATCCTGTAAAATGTCTCCATTTTTATAGCTACAGCTTTGTCTGTATCCACGATTCCAGAAATTCATCCAGAGGGATTTCTGGGTCAAAGAACAAATATGCTTCTGTAGCTTTGTTTATATGGATATTGCTAAACTCAGCAATGTATATTCCTCAGTATCTGCATCTGTACTGGGGTTACCATTTTTAAAAATATTTGCTTGAATAGCATTTTGAAACAAGTCTTCAGAGGTTCCCAAACTCCTTCTTTTTGTCCATCTAGTCTCCTGCCCAGTCTAAACCTCTCTCTCCACTGCCCTTCCCAGACCTACTTGTTTGTGCTCTTCTACTACTCGAGGTTTATGATGGCTTTCCTATAATACTGAAATTTGCCTAGCTAGTATTTTATCCTCTTAGTCTTACAGCCGAAGTATCAACAAACTAATCTGATAAACTAAGCCATGCTAATATAAAGGGGCTCACTTCCACCAATAAGTGTGCAATTTAACTTGAGCAGTTCAATGAAAATACCTTACCTGCAATGCATTTTATTTACCTCAAAGAACAATGGTTCTCAAATATTGCTGCACACTGGGAAATCACCTGGGAAGCTTTTAAAAACTACTGATGCCTGGAACTCACTCCCAGAGATTCTGAATGAACTTGGTATAAGGTATGACTTGAGCAATAGGGTTTTTTTTAAACCTCCCTAAATGATCCTAATGTAGCATCTGTGTTTGAGATGACTTCAACATTTCAAGTAGCTCCTTCTTAGATATATTGGAGAACTCTAAGGAAGGACAGTGAACATAATCTCAATAACCTGACTCATCTGCACAAGATAGATAAAGGAGATAAGAAGGGGGCACCCAGGGGTGAAGCATTTGCTAATGACAATAGAATAAAAGTAGCATTTGTATTTCTTGTTGCTGGGCACATGCCTACTGTGTTAAGTAGGCCAAGCTTCCCCTCTGAAGTAGTTTCAGTTGCTTTTGTAATTGAGCCTATGAGCTCGAACTAGAATTATCTGGGTAATAAACTTTAGGCCATGCAATTAGCAGTAGCTCTCTGGGTTTCAATGAGGTAAGTTCCTTCTAGTTCACATTTGCTTCTTGTGGCATCAAAGTCGGGCAATCTGCCAGATTTCCTCTACCATCAATAGTGGGCCTTTGGGACAACTCAGGATACCATGACAAGCTCCAGGCATTTAACTACATTCCTAAACCTTACAGCAACCTTATAAGGTCGCTATTCTCCTTACTTTACAGGGAAAACTGAGGATCAGAGAAGTTTAGTAAATTGCCTGGCCTCACAGCCATGAAGTGACCTGGCTGTAATGAGAGTCGAGAAGGTATAACTCTAGCATTCATGCTCTTATTTACTTACAATATGTCAAGTCACGTTGAAGTGACAATGATAAAAATTGTTTTACTGAGTAGATTAGGCTTCCATGTGGTCTGAATCACCTTTCTGATAATTCACAACTCAGAAGAGAAGCAATGAGGGCAAGCCCACTCCCGGGCCAAGGTGTCAGGCGAGGATACTTGTTACCTCATATATCTCTGTGACCAGGCGTTACACATGTTAATTTAATCATTCCCAAACACCGTCTGAGGGAACATTCTGTAGGGGACCATAGAGTCTAAAAGCCTTGCCTTTGATAGGTTGGCAGCCTAACTGGGGAAGAAAGGCTCTTCTCCAAACCTGGCTTTTCCCATTTTACTTGTGATCGGGCAGACTTCCTTGGTGACCTGAAAATTAAGAATAATCACTGTGGCCAACATAGGTTGATTTTTTTCCTGTTTTCCTTATTCTTATTAATCTTTATTCTTATTGTAGAAGGCTATTTAATCCCCCCAGGTAAATACTATTGCAGTCCAGAATCTTTGAAGGAAGTTACTCCCAAATTATATGATTTCTGGAGAAAGAGCAGCATTGCAGGGCTTCCTACACAAAAACTGCCTTTCTTGGAACCAACGCTAGAGAAGGGATGGCCATTTCTTCTACCATGTCAACATTACAGTAAGCAGGAGGGAAGGGAGGGGACCTAGAGCTTCACAGGCATTTCCTCAGAGACAACAGGAGACTTGAGGGTGGAGAACATGCAGGATTCAAGAGAAGCAAATGCCTACTAGGAATATGCTACAATACCCCAGTTAAGATTGTTTTGACAGGACAAAGCCTCAAAGACTAATCCTACACATTATTAGAATGGACAGGGAAAAGGAACATCAACCCTCCTCTCAGAAAATCATGTTTTTTTTCCCTCTTTTTCTCTAGTCATTCCTTGGTGGGGGAGGGAGTGGGGTGGCGAGGGGAGGACTTTTCAAAAATAACCTGAGATTGAAGCCCAAGGTTGGGAAAAGGAAGAGACTTGGTTTGGAGGAGCATTAGGAGTTAGAGTTGGCTGCTTAGAAACACTGTTCCATCACAGGGCTCGGCCTTGGCTATAGATTGTAATTTAGATTTTAGAATCTCTGGCACTAAAAATAATGCCTCTTGCCATAAAAATAGGCAGAAACAGTTATATTTTATTGTCTGCTGGGGAAAAGAAAGGTAAGTAGAGAGAAATGTTACCCTGCCCGGGTGAACTCAGGCAAAGGTTATCTCCTCCACAGCCGAGGACCTAATACAAATGCTGCAGGGCAGGCAGAAAGCAAATGCATCACGTAAACAGCAACCGCCGCCACCCACCGCCTCTCCTCCAGCCAGGCAGACTACCTGGCCTCCTTTCTTGGACTATCTGGTACCGGCCACACAAGAAACAGGACATCCATGCGTCCCTCAAGTACTTAGGGAGGCCCTCCCTGCTGCCGTCGGGAATGGCGAGCTTCGCAGTCGGGGACCTTGTCAGCCGGCCCGAGCCTGAGCCCGCGCCCGCTTCTGCTTTTAAGGTGGCTGCATCTCCTGGATTCAGAGCCTGCTTCTCCCACAGTCTTACCAAAACGTTTAATTCACTCTTTGCCAGCCCGTATAGGAGCACGAAAATAGGGGAGGGGGTAGTTTATAAAACGCTGGAAAAACTGTCTTTTTTTTTTTTTTTTGATGTTGCAAACCCAAAACGGGGATATTTAGGGCAGATGAAGGATTAAACTGTTGTCAAATTCTACTCTAGAACTTCACCCCTGTCACCATCGCAGACAAGGAGACACAGAGACAGTCCGATGGTAGCTAAAGGAGACAAATGCGACACCCTGAAAATGCCAGACTGAACCACCTTAAAAAGCGATCGCTTCATTGCGTTAGAAAAATAAGCATTCTCATGGGACACGGTCCGGAAATTTTGCTTCCCTCTTCAAATACTGCTTAAGAGCCAGGGAGAGAGAATCAGCGCTGGGCTGCGTCTCACCACTTGCTGTGCGCTCCGGAAAACCGCGTCCAGCAGCATCAGCTTCCAGGGATCGGACACGGAGCTGGGCAGGGGAATGTAGATGTAATAAGCGGCCAGCGCCACCAGAGCGGTGAGCAGGACACAGGACGACCTCATCCTCCCCCGGCTCGGCCCGCCAGCGTGTGGACGAGGAGGTCAGGGCGATGCCACCTCAAGACCTCCAGCAAGTTTCTGCAAGCGCCAGCCGCTCATTCACCCGTTTCTTACATGCCCAGGAGCCAATCAGAGGCGGCGTCAGGAGGAAGTCGGAGCGCTGACGTACCCCTTCTCCTGCGTCCTTGCAAAGTGTTAGCCACTCCAGGTTTGAGAAAGCTCTGGGGCTGCGCTGCACGCCGCACAGCGGACTCTGGAGGACACAGGTCTGTACAGCACGCCTGTGGCCAAGGGCGCCCTCCTGAAAGCTCCCAAACGGAAACCCTGAATAGAGTCGGTGTGATGGGTCTCTACCCAAAGCACGTGGGCCATTCTGACTCAAAATGGAGATCCTGAGAAAGATCCTAAAAATCCACTCTTTTCTAGAACCCCACTTGCAATGGAGTGTAAATTCCAGATGATGTGTGGTGAAAAAAGATAATTCTCACAACTTAAGCGGTGACAAGCCAGTAGTGCATCTAATAACACCCAAGTCTTGGTTTCCAAATCTCATTCTCCAGTAAAAGGAAACACTAAACACGGTTCCTTGGCTGATTCCAAGGCTGGGGTAGGTAAAGATGAGCCTGTTGTGTTCGAAGATAACGAAGTGCTCAAAAATGATGGCGACCGGTCAAAAGGACACAGGTGGCAGTTTGAAGGGTCCCCAATACCTGAAGCTGGAATAATTAAGCATCAAAATAAATGATAATGGACTATAAACCAATGAATAAAATAAAAACCCTGATAATATAAATGAATAAATGAATGGGGAAACACGACCTGAAAAAAATTCTTTCAGTGGGTCAATGTTAGAAGAAAAACCATGTGAATCCAAATTTCCTATTAAAGATGGGGTGGGGAGGGTATGGAATCGCAAAGAGAACCTCAGGAGCAGAATTACAATCAGAGATCCAGTAGGAAAACATTTGGAAGAACCGTTTTAAGGAGGTGGTAAGAGGACAACTCCAAACTTACTGGTCAAGGCCTTATAGCACCTGGTACATATAATTTTGCATCTTAGAGCTGATGACCGAACAAACAGCAGAAGCCCCACACCTGACTTCTCCTCCCTCTTCAGCCAATAGTAACAATATCGGTTTTATAGATGAGCCTCCTGGGGCCCAGAGCAACTTGTTCATCATCTAGTTTGTAAGTGATGGACCCAATATTTACTTCTCTGGTATCCCAGTACAGGGAGCTTTCCTGAGGTGGTGCAGTAAGAGGCAGAAACAAAGAAGGAACAAAGAAACCACTACAATTCTCAGTGCTTTTTCTGTAGATTTGAGAGTTGTAAAAAAATAAGACCAATTTGAGATAAACACCTTCATCATTTGTTTCCAATAAATACATTTATTCAACAAATATACCTGGCCCACACTAGGAAATAAAGGAGTTGGGATAAGTCCAGAAGGTCTCTGCCCTTTTTTGATTTTATATGTTTGGTGGTGATGGTGGTGGTGGGTGGGGAGTGAGCATAGGTAAGGTACAGAAAAGAGAGCCAACCAGTAAATATACAAATAATAATAGCTAACATGCATGGAGCACTTACAATAAGCCAGGTTCTGTCGTTTGTGCTTTGAATGTATTAGCTCATTTAATCTTCACAGCAATTCTATGAAGTAGGAAAAATTATTATTCTGGAAACAAAGGTGTTAAAAGATGAAGTGCTTTGCCCAGACACACTCCTACTAGTGAGCTGTGTAGCTGAGTTTGGAGCCGACAGAGTCTGGCTTTCATGCTCCTGTGCTTTACCAATCAACTCTGCTGCCAGGTGATTAGGACTATGAAGAAAATATAACAGACTGATGTGACACCCTGTGGCTGTTTGCTGCCTTAAACTGAGTGATGAAAGGGACCTCATTTTTTTTTTTTTTGAGAGGGCATCTCTCATATTTATTGATCAAATGGTTGTTAACAACAATAAAATTCTGTATAGGGGGGTCAATGCTCAATGCACAATCATTAATCCATCTCAAGCCTAATTCTCGTCAGTCTCCAATCTTCTGAAGCATAACAAACAAGTTCTTACATGGTGAACGAATTCTTACATAGTGAATAAGTTCTTAC